CTCATATCAACAATGTGCACCTTCTTTTCTGGGAGTCCATCCAAAAGGAACCTCATTGTTAAGCGTGTTCACGTTGGAGCAATTTAAGGATAGGTGACTGATCCGGAAGCTAATCTCGGGTGTATACAAGAGAGGATAAAGTGCGTAGAAAAGACTAGTGTTGATTTGTGGGGCTAGTCTAGATCCTAGGGGTAATGGCCAAGAATAGGTGAGTGAAATGATGGCTTTGGCCTAGACGTTTTACTTAACCTATCAAAAGATTCTTTTTTAGATTTAAGATGCACCTAGCCGAACTCTCAAAATGTTTAACCACTAAAAGTTTGGAGGAAAAAAATCGCCTGCTTCTCATATTTGAGCAATCCAACCCAAGTACCAGCAAAAGATTTCCTCAAGATTCCTTAGGTTCCGCATGGCCATCTTCTTTTAGGCCGCCCCCGGTGTTTCTTGCCTCCGGCATGCAGCTAGCACACCAGCCGACACCCGGTAGCCTCGTCGATCACCAACCGCCAAATTTCGACGAGAATCCAACCAACGTTTTTCATTCCAAAGACGCACTCATACCTTCCATTGGTTCTGTCAATGCCGCCATGGCGCAGCGCCTGGACCGCCACGGGCTCTTCGCAGTCGGCCCGAGGCCCCTGGCGTGCTTCCGTCAGCTCCTCCGTCGAGGCCCGCAGGTGTCGCCTTTGTTGCCGAGGACCAGGCCGTACTCACGAAGTAGCAGGTGGTTGGCTTCGATTCTTAAAAGAGAGTGGTTTTTCTACACCCCAACTCGGTGCACCCCTGCTATACCCCCGCAAGAAAATATAGCAAACCATTTTAAAAAAGGTTAAAATTCTGTGGGAATGTTTATGAGCAAAATATTTTAGATGCTTGCAAAGTTTGATGGTCAAGTCACACCCGAGGAGCTCTGTAAAAAAATACTCAAAATGTATGTGCACTATTTGAGAAGAATTTGTAATTTTCTTTATTTTTTGTATAGAGCTCCTCATGTGTCATTTGACCATCAAACTTTACAAGCAGTTATAACATTTGTTCATAATCATTCTTAGAAAGTTTCAGTTTTTTTAAATATTTTACTATGTTTTCTTGCGAGGGTGTAGCTTGGGTGCATCAAATGGGGTTTAGCCACTACTTTCCCGTCGTGTAATCGATCCGTGAGCAAATCCCAACACAGAGATTTAAAAGACATATCATGAATGTTCAAGAAGGAGATCTTTATCGTGGTGGATTTTGATGAAGCGAAGGCACTGGAGGAGGTGGAGTTCCTCACTACACCCATATGAGCTAGGGTCTTTGTGCTGCCTATAGGAATGATGAACATGAGGACGAGACATACGTTGGGGTAGGAGCTGGTGGAGGAGGTGTTGGATGTAGATGTAGGAGAGCGAGGATAAGGTGCGGGGATGTTTTCACGGGCGAAGATTCACTTTGACATTCATAAGACATTTATGATCTGTGTTAGGGCATGCATGGTGGTTGATAGAACAGTCCTATTATAACTTTATAAGCCTGCCGCGTAATCTAGAGATAGCAAAAAATTGATATACAATGGGTTAGAGCATCTACAGTCGGACTTGGCAAATTCGGCTTCTTAAATTAGCCACTCTGCATTCGCCTCTCTCATATTTCGTCCCTTAGATCCATACAAAGAATGCAAAGAAATCCTACGTACTACATACTAAGCACTGCCCTAGCTAGTCTTCATCGTCGGAAATGTCCACGACGACGGTGCCCGGCGCCGGATGGATGGACAGGCAGGGAGGAGCGCTCCGGCTCATCCTCCTCCTGCTCGACCTCATCCATGTAGGCGAGCATCTCCGCCTCCTCTGCGGCCTGCTGCGTCTCCATCTCCTACCAGCGACGCCGTCTTGCCTCTGCAGCCGACTTTGACCGGAGGGAATTGAGGATGGCCTGCTGCTCCGCTTGCAGATCCCCGTCACCATCGTCCCCCACATCTTCCTCCTCCGGCTCATCCCCCTCCTCCTCAAAGTCATCCTCCTCCACCTCCTTCTCCTCCTCCCCCTCCACCTCCAACTCCTTCTTTGGATCCACTACATCCGAATGTATCCCCGCGGCGACCCGGACTTCGCGCCTAGCCCAGATCTGCTGAAGGAGCTCCAGCCGGCACTCCCGTGTTAGAAATGGCTCACTCTTCACCCGGCGGCGTGGAGGCATGGCTACTAGGCGGACGGGTGGAGTGGAAAGTGGCGGCGGCGATGGATAGGAAGAGGAAAATGTGGATGGATGGTAGGGTTTCGGTGCCGCTGGTCAACTTAAATAGTTGGGCAAGGCACTAAGCGGCCCATCAGAGCTGCATCACGCGGCGCCACCCCTTTGTCAGTCTGACGTGACAGGCGTGCCCGGGCGCGCCCGGGTGCCCCCATATCCGCCTCATATTTGGGCTGAATATGAGAAGTGCCGGTCAGCCCGGGCGTTTGAGGCGTCCGTCTGAGTCGAAAAAACGTGACCAGTCAGTGATCGGGTGACCCGCCCGGACGTATGAGGCGGATTTGAGGCGTCCGACTGTAGATGCTCTTATCTCTTAGTTTTATCTCCAGTAACCAGATATGCACAAATATGTGGTGAGAGATATTGTTGACAAAAGATCATCTCTTACTTACAAGAAGGCACATCTTTTTTTCCCTCATATATCTCTGTCCTTTGTTTATAATTTATCATACATGACACTTCTAGGATAGTATCATTGTTCATGACCTCTACATAACAAAGTCACGAAGGAAGTGGAGGAGGTGCCAGCTGGGGTACGAATACTATGGACTAGCAACCTTTCGAAACATGTACTCCCTACATTCCAGCTGGGGTGCTCAGTTCAAAATAAGGTTTCCTCCAGATCACTAGGAGTAGTATTAAGCCAGTACATGCAGCCCTTGCAATTAAAGCCATGCATGCAATTAGAACGAGAGGTGCACACGGCGGAGTATATATTGCAGGTAAAATATAGATACATGGGGAACCTTTTAAATAATTCCACATTGATTTTCTTTCAAAGTTTATTATTTCATGATGGGCTAAATTTCAGAATGATCGTTTATTTCTACCTTTTTGAGAATATTTTCAAAACTAAATCTTAGTGATTTACAGTTGTACACACAGTAAATAGATTTAATCTAAATCATGCACACTATTCTTTCTACATCATGTTCATACTCGAAAAATAAGTAGTAGTATAGTATAGTAATTATTCATTTGATTTTGCTCGTTAGCAGGAAGATATTTAGTATTGTACTTGTCTTAAATTTGTCTAGATATGAACGTTTTTGGTGTTAGATACCCTAAGACAAGTAATTTGAGATGGAGGTAATACTCACTAAACTGTGAAGGAGAGCAAACTATTGTATGGTAACATTGGTTCAAACTCGTTGTCTGACCAGGCTAATTCGTACGCATGTTCTGAAACTAACTCTCTTTCTCTTCCTCGCAAACTACATTCGTGTAGCAAATCGTAATTTTAAAGAACAGAGCACAGGCATGCAAACCAGTAGTACTAGTACGTTCCTGCATGCGCATGAGGAGGTCGTCGGACTCCCTGGGCCTGTGGAAGCGATGCTCGGTAAACTCGCTGCGCAGCCTCTACACTTGGGCGCGCTCCTCCGGCGTGCCCGCGTCGGGGTCGAACTCCCACACCTCCCTGCCGAGGAAGTTGTTCCTCGTCCGCAGCAGAGCGCTTCCCCCCTCCCCCACCTTCAGCCTCCACATGCTGCTCTGCTCTGCTGGTTGCTGATCTAGTTCCAGTGTCACTGCCTACAACTCCCGACATAAGCTGCGTTATATAGTCGGAGTACTCTGCTGGAGTAATGATTTTGTGACATCCTGTCACCTGCGAGTATACTATTGGGGTACAGCACGAACGCCAACCCACCTAACTCATGTTTATTGCTGCAATCAATTGATTCACTGTGCCATCCATTGAATTTATTCATGAAATGCAATTGTCATGTTCACTCCATGTGATTACAAAAGGAATCTTGGACTAATTAATAACTGGTCCTGTAGATCCTGTATTCTTGAAACTAATTCCATGGTGTCCGATGGGCAAATGAAGCTCTAAGGACCCTCTGCTAATATTATCAACTAAGCAAAAAAAATCGGATGTGGCATGTTAATGAAAAAAGGAGAAGAAAAGTAGTATGTTGATCTCAAGAAGAAACGATGCTAAGCACGTGTACCTAGGTGAAAACACAAATATGAGTCTATACCTAATTAAATGAAGTGAGCTTGGCAACCAAACCCAATGCATTGGAGATTTTAGTTGATAAGTCTTTTAATACACTTGGCACCTCATCTAAGCACTCACACATTGAAAGAGGGCAAACCCTTTTTGCAAACGGGCGTCTGCAGCGCTCCCACGATGGGCCGACCCATATAGGGTTTCTTTTCTGTGTTTAAGAAAAAACAAAAACAAAAACAAAGTGCGTTGGGGCTGATTTGAACACAGGACACCCCCCCTCCCCCACCCCCTACTGCAATGAATTGATTCACTGTGCTGCCCATTGAATTTATTCCTGAAATGCAATTGTCATGTTCACTCCATGTGATTACAAAAGGAATCTTGGACTAATTAATAACTGGTCCCGTAGATCCTGTATTCTTGAAACTAATTCCATGGTGTCCGATGGGCAAATGAAGCTCTAAGGACCCTCTCCTAATATTATCAACTAAGCAAAAAAATCGGATGTGGCATGTTAATGAAAAAAGGAGAAGAAAAGTAGTATGTTGATCTCAAGAAGAAACGATGCTAAGCACGTGTACCTAGGTGAAAACACAAATATGAGTCTATACCTAATTAAATGAAGTGAGCTTGGCAACCAAACCCAATGCATTGGAGATTTTAGTTGATAAGTCTTTTAATACACTTGGCACCTCATCTAAGCACTCACACATTGAAAGAGGGCAAACCCTTTTTGCAAACGGGCGTCTGCAGCGCTCCCACGATGGGCCGACCCATATAGGGTTTTTTTCTGTGTTTAAGAAAAAACAAAAACAAAGTGCATTGGGGCTGATT